CCTCTAGCTCCAGTGGGCCGGGAGCAGGAGGCAGAGCTGGACCCCGAGGTTGAGGGGCTTTCACTCAGCCCCTAGAACCTGGCACTTTGAACTTGGACTTAAAGCCTCCAAAAATTGTAAGAATAAATCCCTGTGTGTTAAAGCCGTCCCATTTGTGGTATTTTCTGTTGGAGCAGTACAGGGTCACCAAACCACCGGGGAAGGGTGGGCATCTGAGCAGCTCGGGAGGTGGGGGGCCCTGAGCGTGCCCCACGTGGCCCCCCAGCCTCATCCCCTGCCGCACACCTGCCTTCTCTTGCTCACAGACGCTGTGTAAGGCCCAGCTGCAGCGTCCCCCGTTAGTGCGTGTGCCTGTCCACCCACCGTTTACACTGCCGTTTTGCTGGGGTCGTAGTGTTTGTACGTGTTTTTCTCCGGCAAGATGCCCTTTGTCTTGATGTCCTGAGACAACATGTCATGTTCATTTCGTGTCCTTCCCAGCACTTGTGTCCTATTCCTGCTGGTCACTGGGCAGAGGGATGTCCAGCGAGCTGATGGTCATGGCAATAACAGCCTGTAGGCTGTCGGTGATTGGAGTGTGTTTAAACAATGCCGTCTGAGGTGCTGGTGGCACATCTGGGTGGAGATTCTTGTCACTTAAGTGGGGACTGATGTAATAGGAAAGACATGGCTCCTGTAGGAAGAAAGTCTCGTGTCTTAGACCCACTGCCATCTGGTCACATCCAACTCGCAGCAACCCTATGCGAGGAGTGGGCCTGCCCCATGGGATTTTGTAGGCTGTGACCTTTACGGAAGCAGATCACCAGCTATTTCTCTTGTGGAGCCCTGAGGAGGTTTGAACTGCCAGCCTTTCAGTTAGCAGCTGAGCGCACAGCCATTTGCAGCCAGCGATACCATCTGTGTTGGCGTGTCAGTAGAGAGTGAGGCCACAGGACTGGCCAGGAGCCCAGAGATGAGGGAGCGTCAGTTTCGCGTCAATGGGAAAGGGTGAGCTCCTTTCATAAACATGCTGGCACAGCCAGGGGTCTTAGCGCGAAGACAGTAGACTTGAATCTCTGCGACTTGATTTATAAGCATAAATTCCATGTGAAATAGAAAGTTAAATGTTTAAACAAAACAACAAACTTCCTAGACTAGTTTCCTAGGCTATAAAAAAAAAAACAAAAAAAAAACAGACAAACTCATGCCATCGAGTTGATTCAACTCATAGAGACCCCTCCTTGGGTTTCTGAGGCGGTATCACTACAGAAGTAGATTGCCCAACCTTCCTTCCGAGGAGTGGCTGGTGGGTTTGAACCACCAGCCTTCTGGTTAGCAGTCAGATGCCTTAGGCACTGTGCCACCAGAGCGCATCCTAGACTGTATGACCACCTGTTAGTAGTTGACACAGAAGTTGGAGAAGGACTAGATACAGGGATATGTATGCGTTCCAAGTGTTTGTGGCAAAAGATAACAGGAAAGTACACAGAAAAGTGAAAGATTGTCCAAAGATCTTTGAGAAGAACAAGCCAGGAAAAGTTTTACAAATTGTTAACAGAAGGACAGGTGCCTCAGTACATAACAGAGCCAGAACCAGTCTCAGGAGAGAGACTGACAGCCACACGGTGTGTGTGAAGGTACTTGGTGGAGGCTAAGGGCAGGCAGGGTGAGTTTGCCTGCTCCTGACGGCAGGACTTACAGGGCCCTGTGAAGCCTGCTGTGTTGGGGGTCGTTGGGGAGGAAGATGTGCCTGTCCCGGGTGCAGAGGAAGTCGGGGGGTTTCTCGTCCACAAGGACATCCTTTTCTGTGATCTATGTAAATGCAGAAGCAGTCCCTGAGCCACGTCACATCCCTGTGACATCCTGTGCTCCGTGGAATTGCCGGGGGTGGCCGAGCAGGAAGAAGGCGATGAGCTTTGGAGGACGTGTACCCGCAAGTGTTTGCGGCCTGTGGGGGACGTGTACCCGCAGGTGTTTTGCGGCCTGTGGGGGACGTGTACCCGCAGGTGTTTGCGGCCTGTGGGGGACGTGTACCCGCAGGTGTTTTGCGGCCTGTGGGGGACGTGTACCCGCAGGTGTTTGCGGCCTGTGGGGGACGTGTACCCGCAGGAGTTTTGCGGCCTGTGGGTTCTGTGAGTTGTCTCTGTGCCGTTGCTGCCACGGGCTGTTAGCTAGGAAAACACAGACAGGTGCATGTGGTTCTCTCTTTCTTAAAGTAAGAAACACACACATTGTACATACATATCTATAGGTTCGTGTGTGTGCATGTATATGTTCACATATGTGGGTGTACACACATGTATGTTTGTGTGTTACCCTGGAGAAGCCTGAGAAATACACACAGACACAGGTTTTCGTGTGTTACCATGGAGACGGCGTGCGGCGTGCTCAGGTGTGATTACCTGCTGACAGCTGGGGACAGTCTGGGAATCTGTGTACATGACTGAAAGAAAAAAATAATCACGATGAAACAGGATGTGTGACATGACCTAATGTGCATGACACTGTATCATGTTTGTGTGCACGTGAAGAAAGTGATGAGAAGGAAGTTAAAACATTAATGGCTATTATTTCCAGTTTTATTTATTTTTTTACTAAGCAAACATTGTTTATACAGTAAAACAAAAACCAATGAAAATACCGAGAAGAGGGGAAAATAGCAAATAAGCATTTCTAAGATCTATTTTCTTTCTATTTAGACTCCATCGAAAAAGAAAATTGAAATTAGTACCATTGCAAGTAATTATCACCTTGAAGTCAATCCCAGGTAAGTTGTCACCATCGTGAAACAGGTGCTTTTAGAATCATGGTTTCAGACTTTTTTTTATAAAAAGGATAGACCCCTGTGTGGAGACCGCATGGCTTGTGTGGAAGCCCCAGGCGCAGAACAGGTGGAGGGAGCTGCCGGGTTGCAGCGGGCCGGGCCCCTGCCCGTTTTCTTGCCTCTCAGACCCGGACTCCAGGAATGATGTTGGGCTTTCTAGCTGTGCCGAGCTCAGTGTTTGACACACAGTGCTCTGCACAGTCGGGAAGGTTCTGTTAAATTACATTGACATACTCAGAACCGATGAGCGCAGCAGGTCTGAAAGGTTTTAATGTTGCA